GGTCACAATTTTGCCACATATTGTGCTCTAGTATCTTTTAGTTTCTTCAATTCTCCAATGAAGCTTTTTGAGCAAGCTATACTTATTCTAGTGGATTCTAGAGGTTTCCATCTCTAAGGAGGCTTCTTGAGCAAGATTTGGCAAACCTCTTAACCTAGTAGTTTCCAGAGGCTTCTTGAACATGAGAAATTTTATCTAACACTCATCTTGTTTAAGATAAATTTCTGTACTTAACTTCATCTTTGCAAATCAAATAACATGTTTTCCCGACTAAAAAATCATAATGTTCACATGATTGAGATAGTTACAAATGACCCTGATGTGAAATATTCATCTTATTGATCTTTTAACAAATTTACAAATAAAAGATTAAATACATTTCGTGATCTAATATTATACAAACTCGTTGTACATGAATCACTCACATATCTCCATATGAACAATAAAGATGATATATTATTTGTAACCTTTACAAATTGAATCATATTAATAATTTTGTCAAGATAGGCATACAGTCTTAATAGATTATTATGTTACTCCTTAAACATGATTCTCCCTGCATGTGTTTCAGGATCACTTTAGCAACTTAAGATTTTCATAGAATAAATAATAAATATTTACAATAATCAAACAACTATTTTGTTTATACAAAAATATTGATAAATTATGAGGTTTTAAGCACAAATCACTAATAGATCGGATAGATGCAAAGAAAATTACTTAAAAACGTCTAAATATAGGCGTGCAGAAAATTTAGAAAAATCGACATATATGCAAAATCACAATTTTGTTGCTATATTTGTAAACGTTGTAATGTGAATTACGACCCATTAAAAATTTTCTTATTTTATTCACTCTCCTCATCATCTAATAATTTTAGGGGCAGTTACAAATATGACAAAAATATGTAGTAAAATTAGCAAAATAGCAATCACATTTAGTTTCTTCAAAATATAGCATTTAAAAAAAAAGACAGAGGTCCAATTTAAAATGACAATTTTACCCAAATGAAATATATCTGTAATATGTTTGTAATATATTTGATTACTTATATATGTATGTGATATATATCTGATATACAACTGATACGAGTGTTTGATATACTTGCAATATGTATGTGATAACATCTGATATATTATTGATATGAGTGTCTGTGCAATATGTATGTGATATAAATCTAATCTTCAACTGATACGAGTGTCTAATATACTATTGATATAAGTGAAAGTTTTTGCTATATTTGAAAAGTCTAGTTAAAATTTCTCCCCAATTTCAATGTTTCTAAGTTTTTTGAAACTTTGATCCATATTAATATTACTCATAGATTTAGATGTAGTGACCAAAAAAAACAATTGTAGCATAATTAAGCTACAATTAAAGTTACATTTACAAATTCAAATAATTTAAATCAATTTCCATGATTTCTGTGATTTCTTTCCAAAAATTGCCTTAACATCGACATTTTAAAATTGGTTAATACAGATAATAGTGCTCATGTTATCAATTAGTTAAAAGCAAAACGAAGGTAAAAACAATGTTTTTTAAAGTTAAGGAACTAAAAATATACATTTCCAAAATTCATAGACTAAGAGAGACATTTTTTTAATCATGTTGAGGTGGGGCTTCAAACTCACAATCTTTTAGTCAGAGATAGATGCCTTGGTCAATTGAGCTAAGCTCAAGTTGACACTAATATAAACATTTTAAGAATTCAAGGAATAAATTGAACATTTTGAAAGATCATGGTTCAAAATAAAATATTTTGAACGTTTATAGACCAAAATGAGATTTAGACATTAAATAATTGTTTTGTTAACATATTTAGATATATGGGTATGCATGTCCTCAAATACAACCTGGACTTGTGAAACGTAACTCGCCCGTCAGCAAAATTCATTTCCAAGTGACATGTAGATATGTTGACATGTATGAATATACTAATAAAATAATAATTTAATGATACATCAAACTTTTATTGCTTTTCACAAAATGAAGTAATTGAGAATTTTAAAAAATTAAGGATGAAATTAAAAATTATCTAAAAAAAAGGGCCACATTGTTGGATCGGAGAGAATGAATGCATGTATGGAGTTTTTTAAAAAAAATACAATATGTGGGGTCGCAAACCCATGACCTTTTTGGTTGAAGATAGATAGGCTCATGTTGGTAATGCATTTATAAAGTTATCGATTGGAGAATAACCCAATAAATAAATTACCTAGTAGTACTGCTGGGAAAATTACTTACCAAGAATATTTTCACCTTCCACAATTCTTCAGTGAAAACTAACTCAATCACACAATAAGAGAAAAATAGGGGAAGCGCAGTAACAACACAAGAAATTTATACTGGTTCACCCCAACTACGAGCTACGTCTAGTCTTCCGTTGCGACAACAAGTTCTACTATGATTTTGGAATAATACAATTGGAAAATACGATAATCTCTCAAATTTAGAGGTCTCGACAAAAGCCACCTATCTTCTAGGAACTACAACAATAGAGTCCTAGGAAACATGAATGAAAAACCTTACTAAATACCCACGAGATTAGGTTGCCGACAATGCTCTACAACTCTGAGATCTCGCCTTTGATGACACTGTCGCTTCCCTCTGAAAAATTCGTACGCCTACACATTCAGCTACCATTGCAACAACATATAAACAAAACCTAAACAAAAAGTTCTATTTATAGGAGGTCGAATATCCTAATTCTTGTTCGAAAAATAATATTATAATTGTTTTTTTTAATAAGACATGTATTTCGTGTATTTGCTCCATTATCCAACGAGTACTCCAAAAGTCAGATGATTCAACTTTCGACTCTGTGTAACAATTAACCTAAAAAAAATTAACATCTAGCTAAGCAAATAAAGCTATAAGACGAAAGTCTCATTATCATAATTAGTCATAGAAATTCTAACTTTGGCAGCATTTTTATTACGTTATAGAAGTGTCTATGACTCTCTTCAATGCTTCTCCCATACCAATTACCTCTTCCTTTTGTCTCTACGCTCTTTCCTTTCCTTGCGATGTCTCGTTATCAAGATTTCAATTTTATGAAAATAAATAAAAATATTAAAAGATTTATTAAAATAACAAATAAGTCTTTCACTATTTTTAAATAAAATCTCATTATTTATATTATACTCCAATAGAATTCAAAAAGAATTAATTAAAAAGAAAAATAGAGTAAGAATGTATTTTGCAAAGACATCTAAAAATGTTTTTTTTAAGTCTAATAACAAATAAAAATGAGTTAAATAAAGTCAAAGTGAACATAGCTCAATGGTCGTTGGTATTGGTGATAATTGACGTTTATCAGGTCTGAATCCACACTTCGACCTAATACTAAAAAAAATTACACGTATCTCAAGTATATAACTAATATAATTAAAAGTATTTTAATAAATTCAGAAATTACACATAAAACAAATATGTATCTATGGAAATGTGTTTACCTTTTGTTTTTTTCTAAGAAAGGTCACAAACTTGATATTTAATTTGTCTCATGTGCTTTTTGTAAAATTTTAAACCTACTATTATATATATAAATTCATATTTATTTCCGTGCTATTTTTATAATTCCCTCGAATAAATTCAAGTTTGCTCTATTTATATATACTAGTAAGAAACACGTGCGGTGCACGTGAAATTTCATAGTTTTTATTTCAATGTTTAAAAATATAAAATTTAATTAAATAGTTAAAATTTATAATATAATTTGGTTTTTTATCTCTAAATGTTTACCTCACCAAATTTTTTCGTATTTTCAATGTTTATCTCATAAAACAACGTCTCAATAATTCTCATTACCCACTGATGTGGTTAGTGTGATTAAAAGTATTATTCTTCAATTACTTAAATTTTTTTCTAAAAAAAACACATATTCAGGGATTTTTCATCTTTTTTTTCCCTAAACATAACAATAAATAATACAACTTTGTTTCAATTTCTTATTTGAGTCATTGAAAAATAAAATGACAAAAAAAAGTGAGAGATAGAGATGCATTCAGGGCAGCCATTCTTTGCCATGTTTGAGTTTCGGTCCAATTCCTTGTCCGARCTCGTCGGGAATGCCAACCGCARCCATGTTCAGATGAATTACTCAAGCTATTTTCATCACACRATGATCACCTTACCAAGGAGGAGGTCATTGAGAGAGTCCTCGCGGTTACCAAGTGTCGTCCCAAAGTGAATCCGTCCAAGGTGATTCGATCTTATCACTAATTTTCATTTTTTTTTCTAGTTGATTGAGTCGTTTGGAAAAAAATAACTAAAAAAATTGAATATTCGATCAAACAATCTAACTAAATATAAGAAAATACAAGACATTGACTAAAAGAGAAAATTTACATACCGAAAGAGATTAAAAAAAATTCAAGTTTTGATGAAGAAAATGTTGGGAGAAAGAGTAAGATAAAACTCTTTATATATTTGTAGAAAATAAGAAGTTACGAAACATTTGAAATTCCTTATTAATTATAATTCAAAATAAATTATAGCTTTTTAACATAGAAATAAAGAGACAAAACCCTCCATATTCTAACTCTTTATATTCTAACCTTTAAGAGGGATAGTTTATTAGAAAGAGAAAATTAATTTGAGAAATGTAAAATTTGTAATACTGGAGATTAAATATTTTAAAAGAAATGAAAAAAAAGAGAAAGTGGTATGGGAGGGAGAGAAATAGGGAGTGAGAGAGAAAATTTTATAGTTGAAAGACAAAATTACCTTCAAAATATCTATGAGAATATTGAAATTAAAAGGGTAAAATAAGGAGAAAAAGTTTCTCCCTATACGTCTTTTATATATACTATAGATATTATATATATGAACTTAAAAATCTCACAAAACTCATGCCATAAACAAAATTAAATTGTAATATTTGTTCGAGTCTAAAGTTCAATAGGACGAAACTAAAAATATAGGATAAAAATTGATACACGAGAAGTAAAAATTGATTTTTTTCTCATAAAAAGGAATATCGTTTGAAAGGAAAATGCTTAAACCCAAAGGTATGACAAAACCCATCAAAAAGTGGGGCTCTTCAACAAAGTGCTCAGCGTCAGCGGCTGGACAGAATTCAGTATTCACGAGTGCTTAGTGGAAACCAGTAAGCTCCATATGATCATCAATGGCAGTACCAAAAAAGTTCTTCAACCTTCGCTTCAAATCAATGCCCATTTCCACCCATATATTCCCCCAATTTCCTCTGTCACCCCATCAATGAGCTTCGCACCATTTTTCCCTCCGCGGCCATGAAATCCAAGAGCTCCGTGGAAATGGGTTCTCTGTTTTCTGCTTCCTTCTTCTTTCTTTTTCTGATTTTGATCCATTCTTCGCCTCACGAATCAGTGGAGTATAAATCTGCCATTGGAGACCCGGGAATGAAGAACCCAAATGTTCGAGTCGGATTTGAGGCCTGGAACTTCTGTAATGAAGTTGGAGCGGAAGCGGCCCACATGGGCAGCCCCAGAATGGCTGATTGTGCTGATTTGCGAGCCCCATTGGCTTCTGGTATGCAATTCTTCTCAATGTCGGTTCCCCTGTTTTGTTTATGGTCTCTGATTTCCATTTACTGAGAATTTCTGTGGCTTCCTTCTTTAAATTTGATTTTCCTAATTTGTTCTGATAGTCCACTTAAGCTTTCAAATTGCTCAAAATTCTCTTAATATTACTACTTTTGGACATCACTAAGTTGTTTATTAGTAATATATTTTATATGGGTTATATTACACGTTTTGTCCCTGAAGTTTTAGGTTGGGTTTGATTGGTCCGGTGCTTTAAAAGTTTTTAATAAATCTCTGAGCTTTTGAGGATGCTTCTAGTAGATCCTTATACTTCAAAATATTTATAATAGTTCCTTGGACTTGTAACTTGTGTCTAATAGGTTCACATCGTTAACTCTGTCCATGTATTGTACTAATTCAGGATTATGTGGTGGCGTACTTGTAAGCAAGTTTAAGTGTTTAATAGTGTCATTGTTGAATTGACAGAGTTAACGTCGGTAGCCCGTTTGACACACATTAAAATTTTAAGGACTTATTAAAAGACTTTTCAAAAGTATAAGAACAAATAGATACCACCTTGAGGGTCAAACTTATAATTAAGCTGTCACACAGCTTTCTTGTTCAGTTTCCATTTTGTCATTTTATAGAACAACTTGTTACTAATGGTTAGGATATGAACCTAGCCTAATTTTTGTTACAAGAGACAAAATCTTGAGTATATAAGCAATGATTAGGTACGGGACTTTTTAAGTAAAACCCAAAGGTAAAACCAAGCAAGCGAAAGTGGATCATATCATATATTGTAGAAAGACTTGTTATTCTAACATGAATACATGGATTGATTCCAAAATTGAGATGTTTCTTTCTTTGTTGATTTGGTTCTTGTTTCAACCGTTTCCATGTAAAAGGTCTTATTTTAAATCTAACAAAGTGTTTGATTATCATGCTGTTGCCAATTTTTCTGAGATCTGTTGCTTTCTAGAATTGGAAAAACTGTTGTATTTGTTCTTGCTATCTAAACCATTAAGCCAATCCATTTGCAATTGGTTTTTATCAGATTATCGCGATTGTTTCCGTCTTGAGAGCGATAACAAGTGTCTACTACAAAAAGTAAATGAATCAGATAATAAACTTGGGGCAGGGGAAAAATTCCCATCGGAACGTTTTAAGCCATACCAGGACCCAGATCTGTATGCTGTGGAGAAGGAGCGTTATCTTGGATCATTATGTGAGGTTCATGATTCTTCGGATCCATGGTACTTCTGGATGATTATGCTAAAAAATGGAAACTTTGACAAGAACTCTACTCTCTGCCCTGAAAATGGCAAGAATGTTAGTAAGATTGTAACTGATAGAACATTCCCTTGTTTTGGAGAAGGATGTATGAACCAGCCACTTGTTTACCATAAAAGTTCAAGATTGGTATCTCTTGGCAGACGAATGGTCTCTTTAACAGGCGGGTTTTATGGAACCTATGAACTTGATGCTGATTTGAGTAACGGTATAGGGAAGAACTCTTACTTTTCAGTCACCTGGGTGAAGAATGTTAGTACAGGTAGTTGGATTTTCTTGCATCGTTTGACGACATCGTCCAAGTATCCTTGGCTTATGCTGTACCTCCGTTCCGATGCAGCAACAGGTTTCGACGGTGGATATCACTACGATGGTCGTGGCATCATGAGAAAGGTTTGACACATGTTTCTAACTTTTGTTTTCTCTTGTTTGCAATGCTCATGTTTAATGTCCATGCTTGATTCATAATCCATCCTCTTCTTTCGACTTTCTTTTGTTCTAAAACCATATAAATTCTACACAGGAACTCATTCAGATGAGAGAACAAACTTGAGACCAACTAAATAATGTTCTAATCAATAATAATTAAGGGGTTGTTTGATAATGTTGTGTTTTCTCATTTCCTGTTAATTATTTTCAAGTTTTGAGAAACATAAAGCATTGCATTTGATAACTGTTATGTTACTCGTTTCTCATTTTTAAGCATCATTTTCAACTGTATGGAAGTTAGAAATGGATACCAAACGTTTTTCCAACTTATTTCAATAAAAAAGAAATAAACAAGATATAATTACCAAACATAGTTTTGTTTTTCCTTCTAAACAAGAAGCGGTAACTTTACCAAACGGCCCTAAGTTTCACAGGTTTTACAAGTATTTGCTTCCTTCTTTTGCTGTAATCCATGGGAAGATATGTTTCCAATTTACTGTTCAATGTCTGTTTTATACTTCTCTCTATTCATTCATGTGGTTTCGACATTTAACCCGAATTTTGAATTCTAATTTTCAGTTGCCTGAATCCCCAAATTTCAAAGTAAGATTAACACTTGCCATAAAAAGTGGAGGTGGAAGCAACAACCAATTCTATCTCATTGACATAGGAAGCTGTTGGAAGAACAATGGAGATCCTTGCAATGGCGACACGACCACCGACGTAACTCGATACAGTGAAATGATTATCAACCCGGAGACTACTAGCCGGTGCAAACCGAGCAATCTACAGGCTTGTCCACCATATCATGTTAGTGCTGCTGGTGAGAAAATATATAGGAATGAGACATCAAGGTTCCCATATTCAGCTTATCACCTGTACTGCAGTCCTGGAAATGCTATGCATTTGGAGAAACCATATGATATTTGTGATCCATATAGCAACCCACAGGCTCAGGAGTTGGTACAAATTCTTCCACATCCTGAATGGGCTGTACATGGCTATCCAAAGAAGCAAGGAGATGGATGGATTGGAGATCCTAGAACTTGGGAGCTTGACGTTGGAGCTTTGTCGAACCGCTTGTACTTCTACCAGGTAAATTTTCATATTGCATCGAAAAATATATGATCTCTTCATTTTCCTTCTCGACATCTCGACGTTGTTTCCTGTTATGATGAGCTGAAAATTACCTATGACTCCAAAATGCATGATGGTCAAATGAAATATTGAGATTCTGGACTTGTGGCTTTTTGAGTATCTGAGAGTCTTCCCTTACTGCCAAAGGTTAAATTACAAATTTACTGTATAAACATGGATGATTTTATTTATTTAGCCCCAAAACTTGAAGCCTAGAAATGTTAAGCCTGGTGTAAGTTTAAGAAGCTTGGATTTAGGAAAACTGTGTGAATTAGTGAATTTGGAGAATCAGTGAGTTTGTGTGACAAACCCCCGAAAATTTTTCAATTACATACCTAAGTCTTTGAAGGGTGATTTTATATAGTCCAAAGTGTTATAATATTTATTCAATGATGACGTGACATGTTTATTGGACGAGTGATGATTAATTTAGTATCACGTAGCAGAAAAATAGCAATAGAAAGTAGACAGCTAAATAAAATAAAGTTGCACGATCTAGAAAAGAACTTGATAAGTTACTTCAAAAAGAGGGCATATTGTAGGTTCCACTTTATTTTGTTCAATTATCCACTTTATTCTATAATTTGTCTGTCATATCATGCCAAATCAAATCAGTTAATATTTGTTCAATTTGTTTGTCGTGTCATCATTTTGACAACAATATGAACGGTAGGGACTACATAAAATCACAACTATTCAAAGTTGATAGATTAAATGAACACAACCATCAAAGTCCAAGAACTTTGCTGCTCACCTAAATTCAAGTTTAATCTTGTGAAGTTTGACTCGAAGCTGTGTTTTTCTCGTCAACGTAGGATCCGGGAACGAAGCCAGCAAGGCGGGTATGGAAATCGATCAATGTCGGTGCAGAAATATATATTAGTGAAGGGGGGGTGACAGCAGAGTGGAGTGTAAGTGATTTTGATGTTCTGGTTCCACAAGATCCAAGAGATGCCAATTGCTGCTCTTATTAATTTTCTGCTCTAAGTTATGCAATATATCAAATAATGTCATCATATATAATTCTCTCTTCATCTTTCCCCATTGGCATCCCTTTACAAATACTTGCCACTTTATTGTTCCAAGAAATAAATGCTTTTTAAGGGCAAGTTTTATGTTATATTTCCTCCTCCCACCTGCCATTTTGGTAGAAAATTATGTGCTTTTGTAACTCAAACAGCTAATCTTCAAAATCAAGTGATGTGTGTGATAATGTATTATTATTATTATTTGATAAAGGTGTTAATGTATTATCATTAGACCAAATAGAGAATGATTTTATGAAAAATTATAATGAGAGACACATTGAAAAATAATTTACAAATATAACAATTTTTTCTTTTGATATATTACTAATCTATCATTCTTCTATCATTGATATGCATGATATAAAACATATCACTAATATATCATTTATGTGATAAAGTATATTATTGATATATCATTTTTTGTTATATTTGATAAAGTCTATCACTAATATAACAATATAAAGAATATCACCGATATATCAATATTCATGAGATTCCATCTAAAAACTAATTGACAATTAGAAGAGTAATCCGTGTATATTATAAACATTTGTTAGATATCACTTATCTTTTTAATTTGGGATCCTTAACATGATATATCATTTCCGTACCATTGATAAAAGTTGATATGAATCTACAACAGAATCATGAATATAAGCCAATACGAGTCAATTTGAGCCTACCCATCATTTATTATAAACGAGATTTAATAGTTTTGGTTGGCTTTTATTTCTAATATTTTCATTTCTTTAAGTTTTTCATATTCTAGGCTATTTATTTACTTGTCTATTAAATTCTTGTAAGTTATGAGTATTTCCATTTTCTTAAAACTCTTAATATGGTTGACTAAATGGCTATATAAAATCATGCTCGTGGCCTTTATAAACTCATAATATAGAATTGAGGTGTAATGAAATGAGTCTTTGAGCCTTTCTTTTGGCCAATAATTAATGTATTTTGCAATCTAATAATATAGCTTGCATGTTTAGGATCATTCAAGTGAAACTTGATCTATTTTGTTTGTAGAATGATTTAGATCTTAAACAAGGAACAAGTTTTCTTGTCTTGAGATATTTAATCAACAAGATAATCCAATTTTTACTTCCTTGGGTTGAGTCCATAATCAATTTCTGAGTTTTTGGGATTGAGTTCTATGAGTCTTGTTTTTCAACAAAGTTTATAGATTCAATTCTCAAGGGTTTCTTAACAAAAGTTATCACTGCTTTACTTAACATAAAGTATATTACGAAAACACAGAATCTTACATTTGTGCAATTTTTGGAAAATATTTTATCATGAGACAAATTTCCATTGTTTAGGCTAGTTTCCTTCTTCTTCTTACAAAAAAAATAACTTAAAAAAACCCTGAACATTCAAAATACCTAAACAACAAATCTAATCTAATCCGGAAAATCAGTTTCCCAAGCTCTTGTTTCCTGATCCATCACGCGGCTCGCGGTGCGACTGCGTGAGCAAACATATTTGCCTCTCTTTTAATGTGATATATGGAGATTACACTATTGTCTGAATTTTTGGAGTTCTTCTTCTCTCCATTGAATTTCAGTAAGATCCATATCACTGGCCACCGTAAAAGTGAAGATTGAAACTAACAACCGTAGTAAGATTTGAAATATTGAATTTGAGTTCTAATGCACCATTCTTATTATAAACACCTTCATATTCTCTTAGCAGCTTGTTAGTAATAAAGGAAACAATCTAGATGCTTAAATTTAAGAGTTAAAAGAAAACCAATTAAATTTGAATTTTAGTTAACTTCAACTGTTTAATTAGTTAAGACATATATTAAATGTTCGACTTCACTCCACCTCTTGAATTAGTAATCTATTAACAAAAGAAAGGTAGAGATGAACATTTTTGGGTTTTATTATTATGTTGAGCAGTTTCTTGCATAACAAGCATTCAATTTGTTAGATTTGGTGCAATGTCAATTCAAGTTTAAGCTCCTAATTTTCTATAAGGAATTGTCAAAGATAGGTTACTTTTGTCTTCATCTTCTATTTATCACCTAAATAAAATGAAAAAAAAAAATCATTTAAGATTGGGCAGTTTTTATTTTATTTTTTATTTTTCCTTCTTCTTCTTTCGACGTAGTTGGACACAAGACTATATTCTAGATAATGGTGGAGATATCCAGGTATGAAATAAAACATATATTTCTCTTTATTTCTAAGGTGAAACAATCTAGGTTGGTTGCTCGTTTTCGTCTGATCAGTTTATGCAATCTTTTCTATGAAATCATATCTAAATCTATCACTAATCGCCTTCAAAAGATTATTGGTTCGGCTATTTCAGAATCTTAATCAGCTTTTGCCTCAAATCGTGTTATAACTGACAACACATCATCATTGGTCATGAACGCCTCCACCGAATTGCTACATTAAAACTAGACTTGAGCAAGGCTTTTAACCGGGTTGAGTAACGCTTAATGTTGAAGCTAGAGTTTGCTCGAAGATGGGTTTCTTTTATTATGCGATGCCTCTCAACAGTCCACTTCTCAGTTATTATTTAATGGTGAACTCGTGAGTTTGTTTTCACCGTCAAGGGGCATTCGTCAAGGAGACTCACTATCCCGGTATGGAAGTTTTACCTTATTATCGACCGTGTAATGTCACAACAAAGACAACAGCTCACTCCATTTGTCCATTGCAAAAGGGCAAGACATATATGGCTTCACTTCTTCCCAAGCCAACAGTGCAAGCATCCAACTCTTCAATTTCAATACATATGGAAGTTGCTGGAATTAAACCTGAAGATTCTGATTTCGCGGCAACCGTTGGTTGGGCTATTTGTCTCGAGGAAATTACTGGCTCCTTGATAGTGAGGCCCAAATTTTATATGCACCACCACTAAATGTTTGACAGCTAAGTGAGAAAAATGTTAAAATAGAGACTTTTTATAAAAATTAATGAATTGTCAATTTTTTGATGGGGTGAAGATAAGATTTGGTCCTCACCTTAATGAGCAAGGATTTTTCTTATCCCAAGATGCGATTGGATTCGAACTTATAACATGAATTTAAAAAATGCTCAACGTCAACGTCTTCAGCATGCACACACCAATGATGGCACCGCTCTTCTTTGGCGACCTCCACCAATTCACATTGCATGTAGATGCCATATGCAGTAACACATTCATTAGTTTGGGTGCTCTCCTCCGAGATTCTAATGGCAAAATCCATATTCGACTCAAACTCATTTTCTCACAATCTTGTTAATGCCTCTACTCGTTGAGATTAGGGCTTTAAAAGCCGCTTGAAGATAGCTAGATCAATGAACTGTACCCATGTCTAGGTTGAATCTGATTCTCTAACTGCGATCAACTCTTGGCGATGAATCAAGTTGGTTATTGGACATCAAGAATTTAACTCAAAGTTATCCCCTCATCTTCTCCAACCACATTCCTTGTGAAAGTAATCAGGCAACACATTTTTTAGGAGGCTACGTTTTCATGTTTTGACCATTCTTTTCCTTCGTGGATTCTGAATTTTGTTGAGGAAGAATATTCCCTTCTAATTGTAGCTCAAGTGGCATCAAGTTCCTATTAATAATATTACTTCCATTTCCAAATAAAAAAATAAAAAAATTAATAAAAACTAAGTAGAGTAATGAAACTTTTGCCTACCTAAAAACTAAAGATCTATGCTATATAAGTAAAACAATACTACGATTTTTGGACCAAAAGTAAAGCTGTCAGAGCTTAAATTGAAAGTAGACGATAATATATACAATAGTAAGATTTTGAGAGGCTAGCTGTTTGCCTTGAAAAATAGTAAAAAAAATAAGAAAAAAATATTAGCAACTAAATGGTAAAGTTTGGCTTACTGCATCTTTTAAAATTTAGTTTCACTCCTTTCAAATTAGTAACAATTTAGTCCTTATAGTTCATAAATTATAACAGTTTTAATCCTTTCAAAAATTAGGTGTGGTCGCTTATTGTATAACAATTTAGTGTGTGTAATTTATAAACACATTTATATTTATGTTACTCTCTTGTAAGTTTATCGAACCCTAAAATATTAACAATCTTTGTCACAATAGAGATTAAATTATAAAAAAATACAGTAACTAAATCATTATAAATAAAAATTTAAAGATTAATTCGTAACTGAAGAAAGTTTTTTTTTTTTTTTTTTTTAAGAGAAATAACTCGAGGGAAATGTTTTGTTTCTTATTATTCATTATTATTGTTATTTTGAAGTATTAAAAAGATTATTTAGTTTGGGCATTAAATTATGGTAGCTACCGTTACCGCTAAACCCCAACTCCAACTCCAGCTCCAGCTCCTCGATCGAATCGAATCGCCATATAAAAATTTTACGAAACTTCCGCTATTTTCAACTTTTTCCGATTTCCTTGTGAAAACTGAAAAGTTCCCACCAATTCCTCCTCTTCGAAGAATTTGCAGAGATCGGCCACGGATGTCTCGATCTCAAAGCTCCAGATCTCTGCAGTTCCTCTTATTCCCTTACTCTCTCTCTCTAATTTCTGTTTCGGGTACAATTCTCCCCCTCTCTCTCCAATTCTGATTTCAATGTAGCTTTGTTACTTTTGCTGCGGAAATTTTATTGCAATACTTTATGATTGTTGTTCTGTCCGGTAATCATTTAGGGAATTATTCTTCGTATATGCTTGGTATTACTTTTACAATCTGTGGCATCTGAATACTAATAGGCAAAAAGAACAGTGGGAGAGATGAATCGAGAATTTGATTGCAATTGCTTCGACGATTACTTCAATATCTCAAATACCGTGGTTGCCCCTTTTATTGCATATTTCTGTTTCTGTTTTTAGCTTTTTGCTTGTTGGGCAGGCATTGAAAAACTGATGAATTCTTTTTAATACGTCTTCAACTGCTGGGAAAAAGAAAAGGGTGATGAATGACAACAGATTTTAATTTGAATTGGTACATATTGAAGTTTAGTTGAATACAGAAATGGTTTTTCTTTTTTTGGTTTCCTTGTCTTTCTAGTGTTGGGAGATGAGCATTCAAGAGCCAAAGATTCTGATAACACTAAAAACGACGATGCCCGGAGGGTGCCGTCCTTGGGGATCAAGATAATAATCATATGTCTAGGAGTGGTGGCTGTCATTGCCTTTTCTGTGATCCTATTCAAGCTATGGCAAAAGAAGAAGAGAGAAGAACAACATGCCCGTCTTCTCAAGCTGTTTGAAGACGACGATGAGCTCGAAGTCGAACTTGGCCTTCGGGATTGAGCTCCTTGATACCCGTCCTCTATATCCGACTAATTAAGAGGAGGTGCATACTGTGGATTCCATTGCCTTTTGTTTAATGATGTACACAAAGCTTTTAGATCTTATCCCAATTTTGTTTTTGGATAAGCTGAGATCAGAAAATCATAGCAAATTCTTTCTTGTCAATTAGTTTTGAATAATGCTGTTGCTCCTTCAATCATTAATCTTATACATGAGGCATATCTCAAATATAAACCACTTCTCAGTGAAAGTATATACTGTTGCAGCTGAACTAGCCATGTTATGAGGAAGGGGGAAAAACCATATTAGAAATGGAGACCTTCTTTTACCAATTTACAGAAAGGAGTTTTAACACCCCCTGCTTAACTATTACATGATATCAGCTGCAAACTTATTCTGCTCGAGCGTGTAACTTTAGACCGTAAACCCTGCAGATATATGTGATTATAGATTTCCATTTTCTGATAGACTTCTATTCTAATGCATACTTTTTGAAGGTTGCAAACCATGTACATAACATTTTATTTTGGAGATGCAGAATTAAACGACGCAGCACCGAAACTTTCGAGGTGTAATATGGTAAGATCTAATCATTTACCTTGTCAATCTATTGTAGATGAGGCTGCCAAGTTACCAATTCATCATCATGCCTTGTCAAATTTGTACCAACTATTACTTATTCAAAATGGATGAATTGGAACATGAAAGTCAGAGGAAGAACATCACCAACCAAGTTGAAAGGCTGCTCCACTGATGAGAAACTGTCAAACCCATCTGTTTTTTTATTCTTATTTTTTACTTTTTGTTTATTTTGACATTAATTTTGGAGCCTGTAGATTTCATTTTGTATAAGAAATGTTTCAGGAGGATGGTTGGAAAGTTGAAGCCCTATGGTAAATGAATTTCCTTTGAAGTCATTTATTTTCCTTCTGGTTTTTCTGAACTTGTAAAGCAATTGGTGATAGGCTTTAAAGGCTGTTTCAATTATTTTGGGCCAAAAACACAGCCTAAGTTCAAAGGAAGGGTCTCCAACAGTTCATCAAGGATTTACTGCAAATTTATCCTCCATCCATATTATCAATAATAGAAAACAATATAAAATCTATTGAAAAATTTTAGTAAATTAAATAGTGATGTGACTGAATATGAATTGCAATAGTATAAAGCAACTATAGTATAAAGAAAATCAAATTTAAATTGCAATAATATAATGCCTGCTTTAATATCAAAAGATTTTCCACTTTTATTTTGACCGATTCAATTTAGATGGCTACCTCAATTAAAAAATTATTAGCTAAAAGGGTTGAAAAAAGTCTAGATGATTAAATTAGAATATCTAAATCAAATTCAATATTAATACTCCAAATTAATAGAATTAATTATAAATATACCATGATAAGATAGATATTATACAAATACTAGTTTAAAAAGTAAGTACCAAGGATATGCCAAACTATTGGTTATACTTTCTGGGTTTTTATTTTCATCCACATAT